AGCCGCAGGGCGATCAGGGGTTTGGGCACTGCCCCCTGTCACACTGATCTCGGTGCCAGGAGGCCTCACGGCTCCACTGATCCCGGTGCCTGGAGGCATATTACCCTTTTACTATATAGGATAGAGGCCTGGTGCACGGGTGGGGGCCGGCTGGTTTGCCCTGAAGGGTGTCCTGGATCAGGGTGGGGGTCCCCACTGGGGTGCCTGGCCAGGCTGGCTGAGGGGCTGAGGGCTGTTTTCCTGCTGGTGGGTGACTGAAGCTCCCAACTGCTCCTTTTTTTCTTTCTTTTTTTTTTATTCTGGGCCAGCTTTAGCTCTGAGGCCTCGCTGCTGAAAACATTGATACAATGTTGCGGTCAGGCTGGCTGAAGCCCGCTGACTGAAAGCCGGTTTCTGGGGTTTTGTTTAGCTTCTATATTTGCAACATAGTTGCTTAGAGTTGCAGCTGAGAGGCCGGCAAGTGAGGCGGGGAACATTGGAGTCACCAAACCCAAAGCTCTTTCACTGGAGCAAGCAAGCCTCCCTGTTCGCTTCAGTGCATGGCTGCTGGCCGCCATCTTGGCTGACAGTTAATTTGCATAAGGATATGCTGATTAGCCAATGGGAAGGGTAGCGGTCGTATGCTAATTACCATGTTTCTCTTTTATTAGTGTAGATAATTATAGAGTATTTAAACATGTTTACTTTTAACTAATAACTTAAATAAGATTGATCATTGAGTCTAATAAGCACTGTAACCTGCCTACCAACGAGTGTCAATGGTATTTGAAGCTACCTACCACAATCATGAGATATGAAAGTTCCTGGGATTTCTACTGGTGAACAAATCTCAGGGCTTGCTGAGACTTCATGGTTTGTTGCTACATCCACAATAGAAGGAAAGGCTAAGTTTCAATGAGAGATTAGTGAATGTAAAGATGTGATTTTCCGGGTTCACAGAGCTTCTTAATTCTGTCTTGTCTAGTGAATCAAACGGAGAAGATTAATACCTGGCAAACATAATAATTGCTCCCAACTCCCATTATCTTCACAACTCAGGCAGCTAGCAACTGCTTGACACTAACCAGGCCTTGAGGAAGTGTTGGGAACCTATAAACCTCCATTCAGATACAAGGGCTTGCTGTGATTCCTTTTTCATTTATGTCATTAGTTTGAAGAAGAGCACACAGAAAGGCTTAGCCACTATCTTCAATCTCCTAAAGGGTTTTCCAGTGGAAAAGGGATTACATTTCTCCTTCTGGACAAGTTGCTGGATGCAGAAGAGAGCCCCTCTCTTCCTAAATCACCCTCGTTCTAGCTACTGGGCTCATTTTCCTCATGACAGTTTACAACATGACACTCCATGACCAATCCTTCCATGGTCCCTGTTACCTACAGCCTGCTGTCCATGTGGTTCAGCCCTTCACAGTGGGAACCCCACCCACCATAGGCTCTGGAGGCCTCCCACTGCCTCCAGGCCCCGTCCTCCTGGCTAGGCCAGAGTGCTATGAGCCACCTGACACTACCCTTGTCCCTTGTCCCAAGCAGATACCCTTTCTACAGCTCTGCCAGCACCTCCCTCAAGACTTAGACCAAAATACCTCTCCTCCATGCAGCTTCCTGGGAGCCCTCCATGCTCAAGATAGCAGCACACAGCATGCACCTGGGCCTGCCTGCTCGGATTTTGTTTTCCCCAGTAGGAGGCAGGTTGAGTTCTCTGGTATTCTGGGTGTTATAAAGGGAGGCTCTTAGAATTGAAACACAGCCTTGACTTTTGACTAGACCATCTTGTCTCCAGACATGCTTTCTCCCCCATGCCTTATGGTCCTGGTCTTGTTACCTTGGCTCATGAAGGGATTTGAATTTCTCCCCTTCTAGCCCGGGGCCTTCTTGTGGTCAGGATCCTTTTCCAGCTCTTTGTTTCTCCATAGGACTTTGGGTTTGGTGACTGTTTTTGGCTTGGCTGAGGAACTGGTAGACTTGACCACCCTCAGCACCCCCTGTTGGTGAGTGTTTGTGGTTTGGCTGCTAGAAGGGCCTCCATATTTGAGTGCTGCCCCCTGGCTGGTGAGACGGAGGTACTAGGCGCCTTGCCTGGTGGGTGGAGTTGGAGGCTGCCTCTCCTGCCCGTCCTCAAGGTGTTCTTTCCAGCTTCAAAGGCTCCTTTCAGGGGAATGGGAGACATTTCAGTGGTTGCTTCCCACATCTGCGAAAGTGGCAGCACAGATTGTCTCCTGCAAACAGGCTTGATTTTTCCTTAATGAAGCAGCTGTCAGTGGGCTGCTGGGCTTGTTAAATACTTACGTGTTTTCAGACTGTCTGGGAATGAGATCCTGAGTTGATTGGTTGTTAACTCTCCAAGGAAAGTAGAGGCTGAGAGAGAAAAGCTTTGGAAGGGTGGGAGGTCCTTTAAGCCCCTGGGCCCTGAGGAGAGGGTGCTCCCAGATGGTTGGGGTTCATGCCCTGTAGACTTTCTAGGGACTCTGGGTATCTATTTGCTTTTGTGTTTTTTAAGGTCTGTTTCTAGTTCTCTCTCTTATGTTTTGTTTTTGCTTTTCTTTCCTTCTAGAGCAGTGGTTCTCAACCTTCCTAATGCCGTGACCCTTTAATATAGTTCCTCATGTTGTGGTGACCCCCAACCATAAAATTATTTTTGTTGCTACTTCATAACTGTAATTTTGCTACTGTTATGAATCATAATGTAAATATCTGATATGCAGGATGTATTTTCATTGTTACAAATTGAACATAATTAAAGCATAGTGATTAATCACAAAACAATATGTAATTATATATGTGTTTTCCGATGGTCTTAAGCGACCCCTGTGAAAGGGTCGTTCGACCCCCAAAGGGGTAGCGACCCACAGGTTGAGAACCGCTGTTCTAGAGGTTGCCTCCTCTCTTAGAGGTTTCTCTCTCTCCTTCTTTCCCTTTCTCTCTTTCTTTTTATTCCCCCCAGACCTCTCTCTCCTCCTCATCCTGACTCCTCATGTCTCCCTACCTCTCTCCTATGCTTCCTGCCCTGGGGTGTGCTCTCTCTCTCTCTTTTTTTTGGTCATCATCTCTTCTTTCCATCTCCCTTTCATGCATGGTTTCATTTTTTTCATCAGTTCATCTCTGTATCTCTGTTTTAATATTACCTTTTTGTTACTTTTTTCTGTTGTCTCCTTTTCTCTGTTTCTGCTACTTTCTTCTATCTTATTTTCTTGGTATGGGTTTATTTTCTCTCTTTGTCTAGTTTTTCTTCCTTCTTCCTTTTTGCTTTATTTTTATCCCTGTTGATGTAAAATACATCAATGGTCTCACCTCTTCTGCTGAAGATCCCGGCTTGTTTTTACTCTGATAACTCAAGGGTAATGGGGTTATTTCTCGCTGTTGGATCAAGAGCAATCAGAAAGTGTTATGGACTCAGCCTCTCTAGCCCTTAGGGATATCATACCCCAGGGGAAAGAGGACACACTAATAAGAGATAGTCTCCTGGAGTCTACTTCCTGGAGAAAACCAAGACAGAGACACACGCCCCTCTTAACCCACTGGACATGGCAGAGCCTGTTAGTCCCACAGCCAACTAAAGCCATCCTCTCCTTCCACCAACTTGGTGATTTCTCAGCCATAGGTTACCTCTCATGTCTAGGTAATAAGTTCTATGCCCGCCTTAAACTCAATATAAACTAGTGTCCTGGGCTTGCAGCATCCTGCTGTGTGTGTAGGTATGAGAGCTCTGGAGTTGAACTTCTGTGTGATCTCAGGAAGGCCACTTTCTCTCTCTGAGCCCATTCCCTCTCTGAGCCTTAGTGTCCTTATTTCCAAATTGGGGATCACGAAACTTACCTTGCAGTATCCTGTAAGGATTAAATGAAACACTAGGTTGGCCTTCTTCCTTCTTTGTTTCTTCTGCCACTCCAGATATTGACCCCTGTCTTTGTTTCCCAGGGGAAGGACATCCTTAAGCTCCTACCTTGTTTCCTGATGTGTACAGGTTCTAGAAGAGGGAAGGAATTTGTATTTATTGGGCACTTAGTATGTATTATTGCAGCTCCGTGGTAAAGAGGTCTATATAGATGCACAGCTCACATGTGCAGTTTCAGGTAGCTCTAGCAGTAGACTCAATTTTAAAGCACGTTATTTGATCCTTTTTTTTCAGCAAACATTTATTGAGTCCCATGCCAGCCCCTGTTCTACCTGTTGTAGATACAGAAAAAAATAAAAAAATAAAACCGTCTGTACCCTTGAGGAGCTCAGAGTGTAGTGTGGGAGATACACACTTAAAGGACAATTGCAGTCATGTATGAGAAGGTTAAGGTCAGTGCAGGGACCATGCACAGGGGAGGGAGGAACTGTCTTTGCTTTAAGGAATCAGGGGAGGCTTCTTAGAGGAGGTGACAGTGGGACTGGCCTCGCAGGATGAATGCAACTCCTGGCTAGAAAAGAGTGGGGAGGGACTTCATGTCATGGAGAGGAGCTGAGCAAGGGCACGTGAGTTTGAAACAGGGTAGCATACTCGGGAAAGTGAAACTCAGTTTGTGAAGATCTGAGCAGTGATTTCATTCTGCTCGCACCTCTCTTTCCTGTTCATCCACATCTCAGTGGCAGAATCTCCACCTCCTTCAACTTTATGACCTTCTTTCCTCTTTCTTTCTTTCTTCCCTCCTTCTCATCTCATAATGCTTTCCTCAGAACATAGTGGAATTTATGGATAAGTGAATAGCCCTTGCCATTCTAAGGTTCCTCTAAGGATCTGGAAGCATCTACTGATGCCCCTGGCAGTTCTTGTCTATAGGATGACCATATATTTCACTAAGTTGACCAGATCCTTAAAATGACAGATATTGAAAACAATCAGGTTCCTAGGATTGCTGAGAAACCAAGATGGCAAGACGATGATTAAGATCATGAAGACTTTCAGATGACATCCACCATGGTGACCAAGGTGCAAATGAAACCAGGGGACCAAGTGATACGATTGCTATGATGACCAGGTGACCAAAAGAACCAGATAACTAAAGGTGTTAGGGTGACAATCAGCTCAGATTACCTGGTAAACAAGCCACTTCCTGAAATGCATCTCTCTGGGAGTTGAAGGAAATACATGCACTTGAACGGAGCCCAGTCCAACTCCTGTCATCTCTTCTGTTTTCTTCCCAGGCTGCCCTGCGTAGATTGGCCGGGGTCTGTCCTGAAGGCCTCCAGGACTCCGACTTCCAGCAACTGGTCCAGCCCCGGCTTGTGGACTCTTTCTTACTCTGCAGCAACATGGAGGAGAGCTTTGTGTAGCGAGTGTGGGAGAGGAAAGGCATTTGGCCCCATTCTCTTGCCCCTCTGAGCACACACCAGCCCCCTCACCTCATTATTTATACTTAATTTATTTTTTACATGAAGTGGACATAGGGCTAAATATTCTAGCAACATCATCAGGCAGTCTGTGTTCCTTGGGAGTCTTTTTTGTTTTTATTTTTTGACTTCTGTGACTTTTCAGTTGCAGATGTTGAAATGCATAATGGCTAATATGACAGATTGTCATGGGTGATTTCACTTCATCTTGCTTTCTCTACTCTCACTATATAATCTTGCCTCATTTTTTAAAACGTGGCAACCAAAGTATTATAACTACCTAGAATTTTTTTAAAAAGTGGATTTGCTCTTTCTAAAAGATTTTAAATGAAATTCATAGTTGGACAGACTATACTAGAAAGAAACTTTTATTCTTTAATAAATGAAATCATACTAAATTTGTCTTGGATTTTTCTGAATAAATTATGGCTTAGACTAACTTCTTGCTTCCCAAGGTTTTATGCCATAAAAATTTCCCACTGTTAAAACTGCATAGAGAGTTGTATTGTTTTCATAGGTACATAAATGGGTAAAGTGCTAAGTTAGTGGGAAATAAAAAATATTTCCAAAGTCTCCGGAAACTCAGTTTCCCTTAACTTCTTCATTTTTATGTAACCTCATGGTGAATAGTACCTCTTCAAAAGTATACTTGAAAGTGGTGGTGTGCTGGATGCTGCGACCTTCGCGGTGGGGTTCAGGATCTGAAGGAGAGGCCGATGCACAAATGAAAATGCTATACAAGAAATATGAATTTAGAAGGCATTGGGGGCCAGGTGGAGCCTCTTTCTTGAAGAGACACACTGAAACTGGGTCCTGCCTGCTTTTATTCAGTTTTAGATACACATATTGCCCTCAGTAAAGCACAGCAAACAGGTAGCAGACAGACTGTTTCTAAAGTCAATAAAGATCAGTAAAGATCAGTAAGGTCTAGTAAACATTTACTTGGAGGCTATCAAGTCAGGAAATTGCTTTGAGGCACCACTATCTCAACACGAACCATCAGTGCTTAGCGTCAGCCCTGCTAACGCTCAAGGTCCATCAGCCTTCTACGTTCCTTGGTGCACTCTCATGATAGTATTGGCAAGCGGTGGCTTCCTGCAGCTGGAGCTTGCAAGGAACTATTGGGAGGATTTCCTCTCAATTCCACATTCAGTGACCTCATGTTGGTAGCTTGAAATTGGCAATAGTGAGAATATTTACACCATAGAAATTGGCAGATACTACAAAGCAGAGATATAAAAATATCCTCACCCAAGGACATGTTAGAGAGAGGAATGAAAGAGAGAGAGAGAGAGAGAGAGAGAGAGAGAGAGAGAGAGAGAGAGAGAGAAAGAGAAAGAAGAGAAGAGAAGAGAAGAGAAGAGAAGAGAAGAGAAGAGAAGAGAAGAGAAGGTAGGAGAGAGAAACATCAATGTAATGAAATTCTCAAACCACCCTTGGTCCCCCTCAGTTTTACAGTTTAGAGGTTGACTGTGTGCTTGGCTGTATCTGTGAGCAGCTTCTGGGCTTTCAGGAGCTGCCTTAGCCAGGCCCCAGGCCAGAGAATCCCACTCCAAGCTCAGAACAAGAGCCCTGCCTTAGCTCAGTGGCTTCATTTGAAGTTTGCCTCAGGATCAGTCCTAATGCTGATCCTATTTAGTGACTGCCTCCTACATGCAGTCATTTTACCATGTCTTAATTTTCACATTTGTGAGTAATTAATATTCCCACTTATACCCTCCATTACAGATGGGGAAACTGAGGCCAGGAGAAGTTAAGTAATGTTGTCAGAATCAAACAGTTAATGCTGATGTGGGGAGTATATGAACCCACATGCCTTTGACTTCAGAGGCCAATTAGGAAGAAAGCAGGAACTTTGCACCAGACACTTACTAGAAGGTAAGTATGGCTCTGGACCTATGTAGAACATTATCCCCCAGCAAATGTATCATGAGGTTCCATTCTGGGCCCAGGAAAGAAAAGTAAAAATAACTACTAAGTACTGGGTTACCTGTGAATTTGAACTGGAGGATGCTGGGTTAGTTGTCAGTAAGTCAATCCCCTTAGAAAAGTTATGAAGCAAAATGGTTTAAACAAATAGGAGTTCTGTAGCCTATCTTGGTTTGAATCTTGGCTCTGCACTTACTGTGTGACTTTGGGCAAAGTACGTAACCACTCTGTGTCTCAGTTTCCTCATCTCTAAGATGGGATTAAGGATATCGCCTTAATCATAGAGTTGTGAGAATTAAGTTAATGGGAAAGGCTTAGAATAGTCTCTGATGACAAGTGCACAAAAAATGTGGCTATCAAGTCAACCAAATCCCACTTTTGCATCTATTTCATTTGCTTGGTCCTTCGTGATGGTGCCTCAAACGTAGACTCTTAGTGTGTTAGAAACGAAGACTTATTCTGTGAGGAATGGAGAGACCATCCCATCCCATCTCTATACCCTGCACTTAGGAGTAATGAGTCTTGCCTAAAATTACACAGGTAATTAATGGAAAGGCTGGGATTTGGATCAAAGAAGTAACCCCATAGCTGCCATTTTTTTTTTTTTATTAGCATCTGCTCTGGCTGGGAACTGTAACATACACCACTTCATTCAACTTCTAAAATGACAATGCTGAGTTATTATTAATCTGTTTTTACAAGCAAGAAAACTGAGGTTCAAAGAGACTCTCCATCTTACCCAAAATCTCACAACTGGTAATGGAAGACCAGGATTTGACTCCAAAATCCATGATCCTTCCACTTTGGTACATACACATTTGACATGTGTATTCATGTATGTACAAGCCCAAACACCATGCTTGAGCTTAAAAATAGTACCATAGCACTTTGGCAAATTCTGAACTTCCTTTTTATTTGAAAAAACAAACAAAAAACAAACAAACCACACAACCCCACACATTTGAATTTTAATTATATGATTTTAAGAACTGATACCAACCTTTAGTTACTCATTTGTTAAAATTGCAGTAATAGACATGGAGATTACTTCAGGGGGAAAGGATAGGAATAAAACAATGAAATATAACATAAATAATCAAAATAGCAATCCTATATAGTTTATGATCAATAGCATGAAAATCTCTAAAGTAGCTCCTCCTTAATCTGGTTTCAGAGTAGAGCCTCAAAGACAAATCAAAATAAATTCTGAATGTTATCAGCTCCATTTAAAAAGCAATACCAGCCATTGGGAACAATTGTTTTAAAACTGTCTTTTTGTTAGAAATTTCTGATGGTCCCTTTGTAGAGATTCCATTTATGTCCACAATCTTATAGCATCCTTCCCCATGATTTTTACTCATGGTTTATCAGACAGCTTTTGGGGCTATCCATGACTGACAGCAGAAATGAGAGGATATGTGTGTGTGTGTGTGTGTGTGTGTGTGTGTGTGTGTGTGTGTGTGTGTCTCAAACTTGAGGCCCTCAAGGGAAACTATGCAATCCAAATAGAAATCCTTAGAAAAATCCATAAAGGGCTATTTGTATATTTTCAAATTTTGGAATCATATAGAAGAAACAAAGATCTTGTCAAGTTATCTACAGCATTTATATGGCATTGAAAACAAAGTCAATGGCCTCTCTTTTCTCCATCCTGAGACTTCATCAGTCCCACCGCAGGCTTTTCCCACTGTCATACTTTAACGCAGAAGCGTTTCTCACTCTGGTGCACGCCAGTGTGACGGGGGTGACAGCTGGGACAGGGGAGTCAGGCTCCTGGGGTTTCTGCCCTCAGGGAAGGTGGGGAGAGGGGAGCTTTCAGGGCATTTCAGCCCCATTTTTCAGGCTGCTTCCAGTTGTGTGTGCTTTCTGCTGAATCCACGTGTGCCTTGAGGTAGGAGGTGGCAGGAGGCACACGCTCATTTACAACAGTCCTTTAGAAATTTAGTCTTTAGATCTCACACATGTTAAAATTTAATAATAAACTTACCTATACCTCTAAAGTACTTCTAAAGTTAAAAGTTCATCTGGGAGGTTTCATGTAGATGGTTTGTCATAAGAAAAGCTTCATATGACCCATCTCGAGGTCCTTCCTGCCTCACAGGGTGGCACTTTCCTTATGGAGGATCTTGGGAAGAATAACAAAATTTGAACATGACATTGCAAAGGCCCATGCAGCAGACAAAAAAAGTGGAGATCTTTCCTTAAAACTCATATCCAACCTCATCTCCCACCTCCAGAAGACAAAGCCCATCTGTTTTCCCAGCATTTTTCAAGGGCCTAGTATTTGGAAGTGACATGGGCTCTTCCATAGGGATTCTTCAGAGAGTGATAGCAATGGAGGGACACAAAGGCAGAAGGTGCTCACTGGTGCCAGATGTGAGGCCATCCAACAGGAAGAGTGGCCCTGAGCAGAGGCGGTCAATACCTCTTCCTCTGGGGCTCCTTCTCAGGAAGGCTCCCATCACACCATCCATGCTGGTGGCTCCGAGTCAAATGACCAGTGGACCTTTTCACTTTTTCTAAGAACTTGCCCAGGATGGCCATCTCCTTGTCTATCTCTTGGCACCTGAGTTTGACAGCTTTGTGGAGTACCTGCACGTGCCGGTGGGCCTTCCTCTCCTCCCCGCGGTTGGCTACGTGAGCCCACCTCAGCTGTGCTGTATCTTCCACCTTTAAGATCAAGACTTTCTTCACCTTACTGAATCCCAGGTCAGCCATGGCTGAAACCCTGGCCAAGGGCGATCCCAGATAAGCAGTCCAGGTTCCAGGCTGTGCACTTGCGAGAATGTCTGTGAGTCTTTCCATAGCGTTCAGGTTACTATTTAACTCCCCTTTGCAGGGTTGGCTGCTCACTGTGATTTGTGATCAAAAGACAGTGGGGTCAGCCTCCTGCCCCAAAGACCTGTCCAGGAGACTCAGGGAGTGGGGCAGCTTTGCCTTCCTCCCACAGGCATATCTCACAGGCTGGAGATATGCAGCTGTCATCCAGAGCTCGCTCAAACCAAACTCCAGCTTTTAGTGCTTATTCATCAATTCAAATATCTTCCTTCTCTTCTTTGTTGCTTAGTGATATTCCCCAATAGTTGAGTGGCTCTCCTCCTGCTGCCTGAAATGTCCTCAACAATAAAAATTGCTGAGGCCTGAAATTATAAGATTGCAGGGTCACAAAATGCAATTGAAGATCCAGGGGGTCTTGGCAAGGACTGGAACCAGAGAGCTCACAGCGTCTAAGACTAAGACTCATGTATCTGTTATTATTTACGGAATGAATGACATTTTAAAACTTTGTCGATATTTTTAATTTTAGTGTAGAGAGGATAGCTGTACATTCATATAGCGAAGTACTATACATGAACTAGTATAAATTTGTCTCATTAATAC